CTCTCTCTCTCTCTCTCTCTCTCTCTCTCTCTCTCTCTCTCTCTCTCTCTCTCATGCTTTCCTTTTTGAACTGATAGTCTTCGCTTTTGGAGCTTCTCGCCCCCGTACCGGTGACGTCAACCGCTTGCGTCCGCGCGGACGGTCAACGCTACCGCGATGGGAGAGAGCTTAGACTTTGTCGTTTTCCCTCGACGCACCCACCTTAAAGAGAGAGGAGTTGCGACGAATGTTGTATGGATTCGGTGTTGGTTCGGATGACCGGGAACGTGGGACCTTGCCCGTGTTCATCACGTACCTCCGATCCTCTTATCTCGCTACCGACCTTCCCCATCGCAGATGACGACAGCGTCTATTGCGATGCGGACGTACGGCGCGTGCTGAGGCGGACAGAGCAAGTGTGTTGGCAGGACCCGCCTCGAGATTGTGAGATAAGGGGGAACGGGTTTGTTTTGATTGATCGTTTTGATTCCCCTACTTTAATATTGCCTTATACGGGTTTGACGGTGTTGCCCTGGTCGGCCGCTCACGCCGCGTGGCAGCCGCAGTTTGATTGTCACTGGTGTCGCCAGGGGGACTCGTGTTCTTGGCGACGGCTGGTCCTGGGTTACGAGGGAGCGACACGTTTCCCCGAGCTTTCCCGTAGTGCGGGGGCATTGCCCGCACAATTTCGAATTTAGATGCCGGCGAGTCCTCCCGCCGCTTTACCCTCCCGGAAACTTTCGCGCGGACTCTGTGAGTCCGACGCCGAGGCTTGAAGGCCTCGAACCAACCACCTCCGCAGCAAAGACCCGAGGGTTCGGCCACTTTGTGATGCCGATGATGAGGCCTGAAGGCTTCGAACCCACCACCTATCCCCCAAACCCCTGACGGCCGAAGTTTTGTCCTCCGCCGCCATGACCCTCTCCCCTTGATTCCTTTTTCCGTCCCGATGCATGACGACAGTTCATTTTTGCGGAAACCTTTTTTTTGAGTTTATCCTTTCGGAGTGATCCGACCCCCACGGGACTCCGCGACGACAGTTCGACTCCGGGGAAAACCTCTGGCACGAAACGAGGGCCTCCCGTTCCGWCCGGGAGACTCAACCCTTACTGCCAAAAATCCTCGGCCACGCCCCTCCTAGAACTCTGATCGGCGACCCCGCACGGGAAGCCGCGAGGGGGCGTGAGGTTGCGTATCACACGCACGTCTGCATGAGTCGACTTCGATCCTGGCTCACTATAAGGATGTGGGAGACCGAGTCCAGTAGTCGGATATGGCTGTAGAAACTCCCTCTTGGATCACTGATTGTGAGAGCCTGAGGGACCCAGAGTATCGCGAATACTGGGAGAGCGAACATCTCTGACGGCGGGGAAACTCGAGAAACCCGGAATTTCCCTGTCTAAAGGAGAACGACCGACTGTGCGTGGGGGATTTTCACTGGGCCATAACTAGCGATCCTAAGGGCCCAGACTATCCGAATACTAACAACACTCATTATTACATATCTCCGCACTTCGTTGTTATTAATACAAGTTTCCCTCCCTTCCATCTCCTCCTTCCATATCACCAGCTCACAGTGGTACCATGGAATTCCATAGCTCGCTACTGGCCCCGCACATCGTGCGAAGAGTGCGAGCAGTACCAGGCGTATCGAGCTTCGGGATTTATCCGACGAACTCGAACCGAAGCCGAGCGGCGATCAGACAGCTTCCGCTTGAGGCCGGCCTCGTCGGATTCCGAAGCTTGTTACGAGCGGCGCCGACAACTGTTCGAACAACGCAACAGCCATGGTGTCCCACCGGTCCACCAGATAAGGGACCGACCGCGGCAACGCAAATGGCAGAGACGCTAATCCCATCCCCGAAGAATGAAACGCACGCCAGATACGATCTTCGCGTACCATCTTGCACCATTGTCCCTAAACTATCCACTGGAGATCCCAGTTCCGACCTGGGACTCCATTCCCACTTTCCTAAAATCCGTGGCACACCCCCTTTTTGCACTTCCAGGTCCCCATCCCACTTCGATCAGGAAGTTGCGCTGGGCGTGAGGTTAGGGCGTCACACCATGCCGTGAATCACCGCCAACAGTAAACTCCGGAGGCCGTTGCAGGACGTCTTCGACGAAGAGGGCCCACGATTTCCATCGTGCGGCCGCTGGACCACCTACTTCCTTCGACGCTTCATGCCACCACCCTGCCAATTGCGGATCCTCGGGCTCGAAGGACCTCGTGAGGTCCTTGGAGCCGAGCATTATTTGACTGGGAAATCCTCAGAGCCCGAGGAAGTGGCTTGCAACAGGGGCAAATAGTGCTCTTTCATTTCCAGGGATGCACAATTGTTGCCAGGTACATTGAACCGTTTTGGGGGGAATTATAGAGAAAAGATACCATATCCTGTAGTCTTATGTTCAGAAACTTCAGACCCCCTATTCTGCAGAGGACCGCCGGCAACTGAGAACTCAGAACAGTGGGAAGAACTTCATTTTGGCAAAGTAGAGTCACAAAAACGAGTTATAAGTGCACTTGGGCCAAGATACAGTTTGCAATTGCACTTCAGGCACCCCACCTGGCCAGAAAGCTGGATTGTATACATTGCCCAAACTGCAATTCGAAACTGTATCTTGGCCCATAGTGTAATTATAGCTCATTTTTGTGACTCCCAAGTTCTTTCCCCAAAAAAGTTTTTTTTTTTTTTTTTTTTTTGAATAGTGACTTTTTCATTAAATTGGGGTAATAACTAATTACCTGTCGAATCTGGACAGGACGGCCTTTCGGGCCTTTTTTATTGTCGTTATAGTATTACGGGGAGCCCTGTAGCAGCCACATCCGTGCTCAAGCCTCCAACCAGGGATTGGCAGGGAACATGCGGGGGCTGCACACACCAGCAGGTGCTATACCTGCTACACCAGGTGGGAGATACCGGCCAGGGGTCAGCCGGTAGCATCAGGACCTACAGTAGCTTCTTCGATGGGCCAGTCACTGTGCCTCCCCTCCGGTCCCCTCTCCCTATGAACATCAGCAGTCTCTGCTCAATGGCACTCGGGGGGACCAACTGCATATCTCTAGGTGGCGGGCGCCAAGCTTGCCCCAGGAAGGTACATGAGGCCAGTGGGGATTGAACCTAAGACCTCCTGAAGGCCACTTGCGTGCCTTACCAACTGAGCTAGGCCTCTGGATAGAACTACTTTTTTAGCAAAACCAGCCAGAGTTCTCGAAAGGGGCAAAAACAAGTAGAAACGGCTGCTGTGGAGCGGCTGGAGCCCGAAACTCTTCGTGCAACTTCCCCGAAAGAGCTCAAGTGGAGCACAACCCTCCTAAGTACCTTTGTAAACCTTGATAGACGGACAGTAGCGCTCTCTTTCACCAGTCGAAGGGGAGGGCCGGTCAACGCCCGAGCCTGTGAATGCCGGAAAGAACAGGCGGAAGCTCCTCACGGCATCCTAAAGGGTTGATGGGCCTCTAGCCCCCTCTCTCCACTTGAGCTGGATCGTTCCCTAAGGACCCTAACCTTCTCTCAGGCTGTCTTCTTCTTCTTCTTCTTCTTCTTCTTCTTCTTCTTTCTTTCTTTCTTTCTGGAGTAGAACGCCCATGGCCTATTTCCTCTGATGAAACCAGAGGTGAAGACGGGGAGGAGGAGGAGGTTGACTCTGGTTGAGGAAGACGACACGGGTAGGACATGAAGGGGACGACGCAGCAAGCGCGCCCAAAGAAGCAACACAGGAAGGAGGAGGAGGAGGAGGAGGAGGAGGAGGAGGAGGAGGAGGAGTGGAAGAAAGAGGAGCCATGGTCATTGCCAGCTCCCTGCCCCAGCGTGTATACAGTCAACAAGAGAGAGATTGCAGCTTGCAGCTATGGAGCCTTATGGGCAGGGGGTGAGCGAGAAAGATGGCCAAAACGTCCGGGTAACACCATTCGCAGGTAAGGGAAATATTCCCTTACACCTCCAGACGGCAGCCCTGGGGGTTGAATCCGAACTTGACCCCCCTATCCCCCTCTCGGGATTTGAGCTGGATCCTTCCCTAACCCTCCCGTTGGCATCTCTCAGGCTGTCTTCTTCTTCTTCTTCTTCTTCTTCTTCTTCTTCTTCTTCTTCTTCTTCTTCTCCTCTCAGGCTGTATTCTTCTTCTTCTTGTTCTTCTTCTTCTTCGTCTTCTTCTTGTTTTCAAGGGAGGGAACCCGGTGGCCGATTACATGTCATGAGACCAGGGGTGAAGAAGGGGGAGGAGAAGGAGGTAGAGGGCTTGGAAGACGAGGAGGGGGAGGTGAAGGAGAAGAAGCAGCACCCGCACTCGGAGCAGCAAGAGAGGGAGAAAAAAAATGAGAAAAAGGAGGAGAACGAGGAGCCATTGCCAGCTTCCTCCGGGAACGCCGACCATGATTGGTCGATGATGATTCATGAAGGATTAGTAACCTATTCTCAGTTGCCTGAGTGTGCGAGATCGAATCCTCGCCGGTGCCACCTGCAAGAGCTGGCTTTGGGCGTCCCTGGATCCGTTGTGTTGGCAGGAAGCTATCCTTTTGCGGTCCAGATGCGGCTGGAACGATCCTGAATGCGCTATTTCTATAGCTGATCGCAGCAAAGGTCAGCTTCGCAAGCTTTTTGCAGAGCAGTTTTTATTTTGGCACTTCAACGATATGATATTACAGGGTCAGTGCCCACTATTGGAGGAATTGCGGTTCACGACGATCTGGAAGATCGACGAGATGCCATCAAGCTGGTTCGAGTCAGGGGGTCTATCCCGACTTCGTGTTCTCGACGTGCGGGAACTCTTCTCCGAGCAAGGAGATGCGACAGAGAGGGGTCTACCATCAGAATACCGATCTCGCCGGGCAGACTCTCTGGTCACTGCTATCGCCAGAGGATGCCCTCTGCTGGCTGCTTTGTCGTTGAATGGTCTTCACACGGGAATCACGGACGAGGCTTTGAAGGTAATCGAGGAGTTTCTGCCGAGGCTGGAGCGGCTGGGCATCGGGGGTAGCTCCATTACCGATGCGGGGTTGGCTTCGATCGGGACCAAGCTCAACAGTCTGCGTGAGCTAACGGTTCAGTACTGTACTCGCATGACTTGGTCGGGAGTCGGGATGTTGCAGGCCCAACGGGAGGATCTTGTCGTTATTGGGGGGGTCGGTCCCTTGGGGTATCTTCATAGGTATCTCTACAACAGACCATCTGTCTGCTTGATGTGATTGCTGTACACTCTTATTACTACTACGGTCCCTTGGGGTATCCTCATCTTCATAGGTATGACGAGAAAGAGTGGTGGCGTTACGGGGGTGTTTGCTGGCGGGCAGACTAAAACATGCTGGCTGTGGATTTGGGCATAGTACGATGATTACCCCTTTTTTTTTTCTTTTTTTTTTTCGCTTGTTTTTTTGGGGGTAACCTCAGTAGAATCACAAAAACGAGTTATAATTGCACAATCGTGGGGCAAGATGCAGTTTGCACAATAATTGTATTTGGGGCACCCCTACCTGTCCGGAAAGCTGGCTTGTCTACATTGCCCAAACTGAAATTCGAAACTGTTTTTTTTTTTTTTTTTTTTTTTTTTTTTTTTTTTGCACTTTCCAACTTCACCTTCCGGGACGCCAGCAATTCGAAGCGGAACGCATTTTTTTGTTAACTACCGCCGCGTAGTTTCCCATTTTTTGTTTTGTTGGGAAGATGAGTTGGATGGGCTTCTGGCAGCAGGAGGTAAGTGCTCCTGCCTGTGTGAGACCTCACCCTGTTGATTGCTTCGTTCCGTCGGTGGGGAGCTGCACCTGCTGGAAATCTGGATCATCTTGCAGCTGTATTTGGGGCAATTTCGAGTCTCGATACAGCAATTAATTAGCATGACCGTATGTTGTATTCGGGGGAACACGTTAGTTAAGTATGAGTACGACGAGGAGTGCTGGGTGGGATGCGGGTTGGCACACTCATCAGCTGGGTCGAGATGGTACTGACATCCGTCTCTCGATCTCTCATGTGTCCAGAGAATCCAAACCTTGAGGTCTATCACAAGCGAGATCATAAGTGCCTTTGCCTTCAACTCCGACCTCCCTGATTAATATGTATGCTACTGTGCTGTTCTATGTGATGAGTCCCTTTTTTTTTTTTTTTTTTTTTTTTTTCATTGCCTTCAGTTCCGAGCTCCCTGATTAGTATGTATGCTGTTATATGTGATGAGTCCTAGTAACTGCCATTTCGGTAAAACTGGCTTTTTTTTCCCCCTTTTTTGAAAAAAAAAAGAAAAAAAAAGGACCGTTTCGGGATTTGTTTTTAATTCTGTTTTGCGACCATTTCTCGATTTACGCAGGGGCCATGCTAATCTTCTCTCAAATTGAAAAAAAAAAAAAAAAAAAAAAAAACTTCTCTCCCTGTATCGTTCCAATCCTAACAGATGTCCCAAAGGACTCTTTTTTTTTTTTTTTTTTTTTTTTGTTGAAACAACTACGCCTGAGTCATGGTAACCGTTTCAGCTACAAATCCGAATCGAAAGAAAAAATCAATGAGCGGAGTTTTGTCGCGGCAATTGGCGCTCAATGACATGGGCGACTGTCGTCATACAATTGCAGTTTAATGAAATTATTTGCTAGTTCGGAATGGGTCGCGATTATAGTCAAATTTAATTTTTTTTTTAAAAAAAAGAGGAAGAAATAGGGTGGAGATGAACAGGAAGTGGCATTCGAGATCGTTTCTGCGGAGGCGTCCATGGATTCCAATCGGTTGGACGCGTTGGCAGCTTGTGACTCCCTGTCTATCACTGTTATGGGTATGCATCTTCCAATGATCTTTCAATGATCTTTCAATGATCTTTCAATGATCTTTCAATGATCTTTCAATGTCACCTTTCCTCATGCCTTGGCTCATTTAGCCGCTCACTCAGTCCGTCCATCATCATCATCATCATCATCATCATCATCAGCGGCAGCAGCAGCAGCAGCAGCACCAGCAGCAGCAGCAGCAGCAGCAGCAGCAGCATCCTCAGCATCGTGCTTTGCAATCTGTATTCCATCTCTGTTTTGAACTACCGTCTTCCCCCGAACATAACGCACCCTGAAATGAACGTATGCAAGGCATGTTTCCGGCCCGATACAGTCAAAATGAGGGTGCGTTGTGTTCGCGGGAAGACGGTAGTCCAGTAGAGGACGACAGTGCGTTGACTGAGATCTGACGAAAGATTGTTTCTTCAGGGGGAGAGGGTGGGGGAAGGGAGGTGGGAGGGTGGAGGGAGGGGGAGGGGGCTGGAATGCAAGGTGATTCTTTGTGTTTGTTTTCTGAAATTTAAACCACCAGCCAGTAACCAAGGGGATCTTAGGCCCCCTTCTGGCCCCCCTCCGCCAGTGATGCAAATGCATCTGGACCCCCGCGGCGCACCGATTCAGAAAAACGTCCAGGTACTGGTGGAGGTTTAAACAGTACACGACGACATCGTCTTGATTGAGATGTGACGGGCCATTCTTTGTTTTTGGGGGTGGGAGGGCCTGTCTCTTATACACATCTAGATGTGTATAAGAGACAGCCCCTACCTGTCCGGAAAGCTGGCTTGTCTACATTGCCCAAACTGAAATTCGAAACTGTTTTTTTTTTTTTTTTTTTTCTTTTTTTTTTTGCACTTTCCAACTTCACCTTCCGGGACGCCAGCAATTCGAAGCGGAACGCATTTTTTTGTTAACTACCGCCGCGTAGTTTCCCANGACAGAGAACTTTGTCTCGAAACGATTACAGCAAGGTTAAAAAATGTTTTGG